TATATGTTATTTGTGAAATATATAAATATATAAAATATATCAAAAATGCATGTGGGCACTCAACTGAAAGCTCTTGATGAGTGTAACATCGGGATGAGCTTATATCTTTAAAAATGTCAATATATAAGAAATTACGTTGTATTTTGTCAATTTATGACATTTTTAAAGATATAAGCTCATTCTGATGTTACACTCTTCGAGACCTTTCATTTGAGTACCCATATGCATTTTTGATATATTTTTCATATATACATATATATATAATATATATGAAATATATGAAAAATTGATGTGGGTACTCAAATGAAAGGTTTCAATGAGTGCAATGTTGGGGTGAGCTTATATCTTTAAAAATGTCAATAGTTCTCAAAATACAAGGTCTTCTTTTAATTATGTTAAATTCCACTATACTTTCTTAAATATTGACATTTTTAAAGATATAAGCTCATCCCGATGTTACATTCATCAACAGCTTTCATTTGAGTACCCACATGCATTTTTGATATATTTTTCATATATACATATATATAATATATATATGTAAATATATAAAATATATGAAAAATTGATGTGGGTACTCAAATGAAAGGTCTCAATGAGTATAACATCCGGATGAGCTTATTTCTTTAAAAATGTCTAGAGTTCACAAGATACAACGTAATTTCTTAATTATGTACCTAGAGATCTTTTCAAATGCAGCCTAATTATCATTCTCAATTGACTATCCATCCTGGAGTCAAAATTTTTAATAATATACATTGCTCATTTAAAAAAAAAATTTTTTTTTAAATAAAAAATCATAATTATAAATAAATTTAATTACCTCACTACTTTGGTCAGTACTGTCACTATTACGGTCTCTAGGAGGCGGCCGTTTACTGGCTGTTCTTTCTCTAGTAGAAATAATTTTTCTATGACCAGCTCCAGTCTTCGAAGATCCGGTAGCCGATGCAGTGTGTTTACGTGATGAAGATGTAGGTGGTGGAGGAGGTGGTTCATTTTCTTCATTAACTTCAGCGAGTGCAAATAAATCACCATAGCTCTTTCTTAAACTATCGCTACTAGCAGCTTGAGCTTGTTGAAGTGCTTTTTGCATTCCTTCAGTTTGATACAATTGTAAATCTGAAGACGCACGGCAATGTTGTCGTAATTGATCTAAATGACCTAATACTTGTTCTCCAGTGGGTGGTCCAGACTGCTGTTGATTTTGTTTAGCGCCGGCGCGTTTCCGTTTATTTGGACTTGTTGCGGGATAACGTGTGCTCAATAAATTAGCCAATAGTTCACCTAATTTGTCTTCATAATCTCTACACCAATAACGAAGTGCCGCTACGACAAATGTATCACCATCATTATTTTGACGAGTAAATAATTGACGTAATAATTCCAGTGTTGGTCTGAAAAAAATTAAAATTATATCAATTGTAATATAAGAAAATTTTGGCTTGATTTTTTTATATTTATGACTCTAAGAGGACTTTTTAAAAATAATTGACTATTAAAAAATATGTAAAGCCAAAATTTTGAAGAAAAAATTTTCACTAAAATTTCATTATAAAAATTGCTTCGAATATTCGTAAATTTTAATTTGAAGTACAAAAGCAAATTTTTGTTTTAAAATTTTCTTTTTTTACACAAATGTCGTCAAGTATAACCTCGAGTCGTTTATTTTTTTTTTTTGATTTTTAGTAAAAATTTATATTTAATTTTTTAATATTAAATAATTGTTGTTAGTTTCACTATGCATACATGTCATTTGAGTTTTGAATTAACTGCTTAATTATTTACAGGTAGTAGTAGGATGTCGAAAGTAAAGTCGAAGATAATATTTTATAAATTTAGAAAAATTCACATATTAAAAAAATTAGTTTTATTTATCGTTCCGGTATTGGGACTAAGCATTTAAGGTGTTCCAATACTGGGTCTTTTAGACTTTTTCAAAAAACATGTTTTTTTTTTTTTTTTTTAATATTAAATTCGACAAAATTTATAAATTGAATTATTTTCGTGTAACTACATGTTTATTCTATATCGACGTTCTAATTAGCAAATTGTCTAACTCAATTTTAGAGAATCTTCTATTTGTACGAAAAAAACAATTAATTCAAAATTTATTATCACTTTAAAAAACCATTTAATATCATTATTATCTAATAGAGATATAATATTTAGGTTTGAATCATTCAAATAATTTATAATTGGATTATTGCTACATAAAATTGTTAAAAAATCACCCTCTGAAAAATAAGGAGTTAGACAAATTGCTAATTAGACCGTCGATATGATTGGATGAATTATTATTACTAATGAACCATTTGAATATTTTCTAAGGGGACATCCATTAATTACGTGAGCTTAGAATAGGGGGGGGGAGGGGTCCAATGAAATCTCACCAAATCTCATTTAAACCAAGGGGGGGATAATCAAAAATCTCACCTCAACTTCAAAAAATATAAAATATTACAGACACTAAAAAAAAAAATTATTTTGAGTGTTTATTTTGCCCGCTAAAATAAATTTTATGTCTATTAAAATCATTTACGCTGATGATTTAAACAAGCTCTTCTCAGAGCTAATGGTGGATTTCTTTAACATTATAATTATAATATAAATTATAATATGTATGTATAAAAAAAGTACATGAGTCTCCATGGATTGAGTAAAAATTTTAAAAAAGTTTTGTTTTTATGTTTTTTAGTAGATTTCATAGGAATCTAACTATTGCATTGGTCCTCATGACAGAACTTTTAAAAAATTTTGCTATATTTCGACTATACTCGTCGAGGTGAGTCAGAAAATGCATATGGTTCAAAAGTTTATATATGTATGTATATTTATATATATATCGGATATAACGCGGCTTGTCACGACGATAGCGTCGCTAATTTACAACGGATCTCTACTAAACTCAACATACTTATTCTACAGATAAATACTAAAGTCAAGTTCGAAGATGAGCTTAATCGGTCAAGTAATTTAGAAATACCAGAATTTCAAAATTCTGAAAATCATAAAAATTCATATTTTTTCACTTTCTTACTCGAATAACTTTTGACTGGGATAACTTATTAAAATTCTGTAAAATGCATCTGAAAGCTCTTTAAATAAGCTTCAATTTGAGTACTATATCATATGTGTAGTCTCAAAATTATGTCCTATTCCGCTATGCCAATTATGAAATTTGCTATTGTACTGGTTTTAGTATTTTTCTGTCGATACATATTTTTGTCGATTGCATAGAATTTAGAAGCCCTAGTTTTGTACACAATCCTCGTTATATTTTTTTCTATTTATGATGAAATCTACTTTCATTTCGGCTGCCGAATGGTCTTTTTTGCTTTGAATTTTATTTAATTTAAATAAATTAACTATAGTATACTTGAATGGTTTATTATTCTCCCGAATAATAAAAATAATTTTAATTTAAAATATTTTTAGCGTCAATCTCACGTAAGGGGAGGAGGAGGGGGGGGGGGGTTCAGACAAATCTCACTAAATCTCACCTAAGGGGAGGAGGAGTCTAAACTGATCGAAAAATAGCTCACGTAATTAATGGATGTCCCCTAAGTAATAAAAACGTCATGTACCCTTCGTCGTTCCAGTATTGGATCTTTTACCTTATCTATTTATTTGATTTTACAGAGTTATAATGCTGTAAAAATAGGGGGGGGGGGCTTCACCCCGGACCCCGCTGTTAATTTTTGCATGAGAAATTTTTGTCGAGATTAATTACGGATTACAGTGTTAGAATAAACACATTACCGACGATCCATTATTGTCTAAGATATTATTGTAGGATTGTTGAAAAATGTTGAAAAATATTTAACTGATAATTTATTACTGAGAAATTATGACCTAAGAAATTTTTCCTTGATAAATAAGCGACCATTACCTTATTAGTCTACTGACTAAAAAAATTTTCTTTCTAATAATAAATTAGCTATTATTAAAAAAGCATAAATTCAGATCTCGGCCTTTTTAATTATATTAAATTTAATGTAAAAATAATAATTATATAGATAATAAAATAGATATTTTAATTTTTTACCTTTCTTGCTTCAACATAAACAATATCGCTGTCATAGCTTCCGCATGATTTTTAAATTGCAGTTTAGGAACCACTGGAAGGACATATTTAATTGGAAAATCATGAGCAGTAATAAGTTGCCAAAAGCAATACTGTTCAAAAGTTTCCCACTCCAGACTCTTCATAAGCAAGCCATTAAAAGAATCTTTCTCCAGCATCTTTAATTGTCCTTGGAGTATTTGACACACTAGGTCTTGCAACTGACAAGAGTCAACAGTACTGACCACTAAGTGCAGAAGAGTTGCATTGCCCAGTGCGATATTTTGAAAGCCCATAAACACATCTGGTACAAGATAACACAACAGAAGTACATTATCTTGATGGCAATTTTTTAAATCATCCAACAAACAAGCTTCTAATTTTTTATTTCGATGGTGAGAAAAATCTTTATAGACAGCAGCTTTTACTTCATTGGTAATATTTGATGCTAATCCTTCACGTTTTTCCTCCTCACGACCCCAAACTTTTAAAAAATACAGCAATAAATATCCAATTGATGGTTGTAAATTTTGTAACTCTGCCAACATATGACCCAGGAATTTTTTTCTACTATCTTCTTCTTTGCACAATTGAAAATAATTACGGAACATTACAAATATTGGAGTACTTATACTGTCCGTTAATGCTTCATCATTTAAATTATTCGAAGGAAATATATCAGAAGTTATTTCAGAGGCTAAAATTGTCGATAGACAATTAGCAAGTGGTGTAATTGAATCTACACCTAAATCATCTTCAAGAATCATTTGGACAATTCGTTCCATCGTCTGACAACGTGATTCATTATCAGTCTCATTATAAAGATTATTTACAGCTGATTTTACTTCATCAGGCTCCAAAGTGATGTTCAAGTGACAAGTTATGTCTTTTATTATGCAATTTGATGATGTAGAAGAAGACGATGAGGAAGATGATGATGACGATAGTGATTGTTTTATTAATTCACGCTCTCGATCTTTTTTTAATTTTATTTTTGATAAAGGAACGTCGTCGTCATCCTCGTCGTCGTTATCATCATTGTTATGGTCATCGTCTACTTCATTTTCGTCGTCATTGTCGTTTTCATTTTCATCCTCGTCCTTTACTTTAGTCACTATCCTGTAAAACAAATTAAAATATTGGTTTTAATAAAGTAGAGTAAAAGAAACAAATATATTGATAATTTAATGTTAAAAAAATTAGTAATTTAATTTTATATTAAGTAAAACTTTTAATTATACTTTTGTTAAATTGCACTGTACTTTTTTAAATATTGATTTTTTTTAAGATATAAGCTCATCTTGATGTTACATCCATCAAGAGCTTTCATTTGAGTACCCACATGCATTTTTGATATATTTATCATATATACATATATATAATATATATTTTAAGGATATAAGCTCATTTTGATGTTACACGAATGAAGAGCTTTCATTTGAGTACCCACTTGCATTTTTGATATATATTTTTCATATATTATATTTATATATATATATATATTCATACATATAGATATATAAAATATATGAAAAATTGATGTGGGTACTCAAATGAAAGGTCTCGATGAGTGTAACATCGGGATGAGCTTATATCT